TGATTTTTTTTTTTTTTTTTAGAAGAGAAGCACTTAAATGATAAGAGAGAGGATGCCAGTGTGTGCAAGACATATTTTGCTTGCGCTTGAGCTTATTTCCTGCTGCATTGCTCATCTCTGTGAATTAGTTCCTTCTGTACTCAGTTCCAAACCTTTCAGCGCTCTCTCCCATGTGTTTTCATTGCCATCCTCACCCAGTCTATCCTGTCTCGCTGAGGTTGACGTACAGACTGCATTGTCTGCAGGCATTGTCATTGTTATTAGCCTTGTGGATTGCTTCAGGGGGTATGTGCAAGCACAGGGGAGAAGGAGCCGGGCTGGATAATTAGTTTTTCCTCAATGCCAGATGTGCACACCACCACTGTCGCGGACTGGAAACAGGAAGTGCAAAGATTGTCAAGGCAACAGCAGCCAGGCTGCATTCCAGCGCAGCCTCCCCTACATTCCCGTCAAAACACTGACAGGACAATGGCAGCGGTCTCGATGGAGGTAACAGATTGCTGTCATTATGTTCTGTCAGGTGCTTTATTGCAGAAACATCTTTATGAGAAGCAGTGGGAACTGAAGGTGTCGACGTGTGCGACTGTCTAACTGTAGTTTTAATAGCACACTGGAAGAGATAACAGACACTTTGAGGCAAGTATCATTGGTCATAATCAGCCATCAAAGGCACATTTAATATTGTGTTTCATACTGATGAACATGGCTTCATTAGTGTCCTGAACATCCGTTACTCGGTCTGCGTGTGTCCTCTGGGTGGCGTATCTCTGATGATGTCACAACACTGAGAAGGGGACAGCGACGGGGTTGATACTCTGCCTTGGATTTGGTTCTGTTGCCATGGGATACATATATGCTAATAAGCAAGACGGCCACGCTTATGAGTACTGCGCCAGCAAATCCAAGCAGGAGGCCGTAAAGTAGAGGCCATACTCTGTCTAGCAGATGAGGCTGATAAGGTGGTACTGGTTGCCTTTTCACCACCAAGTCCACGTCTTTCCAGGTGAACCCTTTGGCTGTCAAGCAATCAGAAACAATTGTTGGCTTGATTAATTTATTTTGGATAAGTTACAGTTGCTTACAGACAACTATATTTTATATGACTCTTACGTTGACAGTTTGACAGTTTTTAATACTTTATGTTGTGTTTGCAAAGGTAGTACACACACACACACACACACACACATATATATATATATATATATATACATAGTAACAATAAAGACAGTAAAGACTTTCAGTTTCAATTACAAATAAATGTTGTTCTTTTGAACTTTCTATTCATCAACGAATCCTGAAAAGAACTAAAAAGGTTTCCACAAAAATATGAAGCAGTACAACTGCTTTCATCATTGATAATTTCATGAGCACCAATTCAGTATATTAGAATGATTTCTGAAGGATCATGTGACAGTGAAGACTGGATAATGAATGCTGAAAATTCAGCTTTGCATCATAGGAATAAATTCAATTTTTAAAATATATAAAAATAGAAAAAAAATTGTTTTAAAGTGAAATAATATTTCACTTATTTATTTTATTGTATTTTTGATCAAATAAATGCAGCCTTGGTGAGCATTCAAATACATTTAAAAATCTTACCGACCCTTGTTGCATAATTTCTGCCCCAGTTCATAAACAGCATTTGCTTAAATTAAGAGGCCAAAATGGCTTGTTCTGATATCAACATAATCAGAAACACAACAATTCATCAACAATACCTAATCATTCAGAGACTAGGCTAGCTCTTGACTAACATTCACAACCTTAAGGGGGTAAAAAACTGTATTATCTTACTTGAAACTGAAAACTGTATGATAGTCTCCCCTTTGAAATGTATTTGCATAATAGCATATTTTATGTAGGTTTATATATTGAGACCCAGGAATATCACTCAAAGTATTTAAAACACATTACCCTTTCTGAGGCATCTCACCCTGTTTTGCAGAGTAATGCAGCACCTCCTCATGGTCTTCATGATCTTCTGATGCATGCTTCTCCAGGTGAGTGGCCATTTGGTCGACAAGTTCATGGTAGCCGTCCACATATCTCTGCATAGCAAGAGTTTTGTCCTGGTTGATGTTCTTACCCACCTCTATTAGATAAATAGCACGTGCATTGCGTTACTTCTAGTCTGGTTCTCTAGTTGTCTTTACTTAATATGGTTTTAACATTAATTCACTTCATTACTTGATTACAATTATGCTGGAGGCAGTTAAAGCAGCTGTTTATTCATGACATTCATTTCATAGTCGTACAAGACACAAGCGATTCTTGCAGCACATTAAGAAATCAAACACACAGTAATGGCCTCCATGAACGCCTGGAAATGAGATTAACTAAGTGTGCCGGGCCCAATAAATGTACCAAGTATAATGAAGCCAGAACAACTGAAGAAGACACACATGCCAGAACATAAGTATGCAATTTATCCAAGGTGCTGTCGCTGAGTGGCTACTCCTCATCAGAGCACATTTACAGGCCGGCAATTAAAGCTCTTATAATTGCCGCACTGTGCGTTTGCCGTACGCATCAGGTTCTGTGTTTGCAGAGGAATCTTTTTTATTTTCTGCAACGCACCGCTTTGACTGAAGGATGTTCTTGGGCTTTATGTTCTGGGCTGTCATTTTCCCCCTCTTCTTCTCTGTTTATCCTTTTCTCCCTTTAACGGAGATGATGAAAGGAACAGATGGCGTGTAGTGAATCTGATGTCAGCTCCAGCGAGCCTGCTGTCATATCGTTTGCACCTTCTCATATCCGATGCCATTCGGCTGTGGAGTCGCCTGAACGGCGGACCACAATCACTGCCAGAGGAGTGACAGGGTGCAAAGCGCATCCCATCAGAAATGTATAAAAATAACATTATGCGCTGCTGAATTTCATCTTTTGGTGTGTAAGATGGATTACTCTGAATTAGCTCGATGCTTATTGCATCAGTGGTGTGCAAAAAAAAAAAACACAGAAAGGAAAGGTGATGAAAAACTTTGCATCTTTGCAGAACTTCAGTTTTTCTTGCTGGCTGGCAATCTCCATTGTTGGTTAAAGAATGGCATGTTAGCTGTGGTTTTTAGGGGATCTTAAAGGTGAAGTATGTCGTTTTACTATATTAAAGCACTTTCTTCTATCCCAGTTTAGTTCGTAGATGGATCATTCTCAAAAAATATTGACTTACCGATTTATGCGTGTTTTGAGTTCAGTTTCTTTGAAATTGGAAATTTTTACAAACCTTAAAAAACCATCTGACTTTTGTTTTTAGGTTTTTAAAAATCTTAATTAGTAAAAAAGTTTTTTTTTCTCTTCTCCAAATTTATTTGACACAATGGTCAAGAATCTGTTTATATATATGTTTATGTTTATATATAAATGTGTATATGTATATATAATTGTAAAAATATATATATTTTTATCTTCAGTTTAAATTGAAAATTTTTAATACCTTTGCATATTTGAAACTATATTTAATCTTGAGATATTTATGAATTTTGGAAAGTTGATAGTAGATGACTTTGGAACAACAATAAAATTTGTGTATTTGGGTAGAAAAAATTAAACGCTTATAAAACACTAAAACTACATTCAATATTTTTCATTATTTACAAGTGAATTTAGGCTTAATGACATTATAATTTTCTTCAGTATGAAGAATGGATGTTAATTTTAAGATTTTCTAAAGATTACAGGGTTTGTTAAATTATAAGTACTGTATTTATATTAACCTTAGTGAGTGTTAGATGCTGTCAAAGGTAATATAAATTATATAGAATAAATAAAAATAGTTGAAATGAACATGTATGATTAAATATTCAGCATCTGAACAATTAAAACATACATTTAAAATAAGACTGCTAAATTAAAGAATCTCTAATATGTACCATTATGATAATATATTGTGCATCTCTACTCAATATTATACATATTGCAGGTTGGTTTGAGTGATGTGGTGCATTGCATGCGTGTCAATGTTGTTGTGTGTGGCTGACCTATGGCAATGTCAGTCCTGCCGATCTGTTGCAGTGCACGAGACAGCCTGTCGTAGTATATCTGCTTGCCGTGAATCTGCAGCCAGTCCTTAAGCGCTGAGCGACAGGGGGCCTGCTGGTCTGACAATCACACACACATGTACAATATCAAACGTGCTGCAGACAGGGAAAGCAGCCAGCAATAGAAGCAGCAGCTCTTCAATTGTTCAGCCAATTAAACAATTCAATCATGTCCCACTGCCTCGATAGATTTCATTTCTGATGGAAAGGGATTATATCAACAATTCGTTTGGTTGAGATGTCTCTCGAGTGGACCTCTCGATGGCAGACTGATGTGTGCAGTGGAGATAAACAAATACATTTGGCTGTTCATGACCTCTTCATTTACTGCAGGATGTGTCACTTCACACATCGCACTGCTGGAATTCATTAGCATAAAACAAATAAGTATCAATTTATTAGAGCTGATTTAAACGATTTAAAGCAGCAGCTCTTGTGTCTATCATATTTACCTGTGTTTCTGCGTCTTCTTGAATGCAGTAACTGGTTCCTTTCTGCAGATAGTCGGTCTAAGTGTTGGAAGATGCTCTCCTCAGGTTGAGATATGGCAGAGATGAGCTCCTCACACTCATGAGCTGTCAGCAGCTCCACCAGGCGCTCCAGCTGGTAAGGTCCAATGTCCTCTGCCACTGTGGCAAAAGTGGAAAAATCGGACACATTTCAATATGTTGTTTTTTCCCCTCCTAATGTTAGTCTTTTTGCACCAGAAAGTTGTCATTTCATTTAACATGACCATTCTTGAATATGTAAATCAGCTCTGTTTTGATTGACTAATCTTTTTGTGTGTGAAATGAGTAACCACACCTCTAGTTTTTGATATGGAAATGTGTGCAGTTATATTCTGATGTACACTTGGTTGTGAATATGAATGTTTTTTGAATGTTAGATGAATAGTTCGAAACTGAGGTATTTTCTTTTTTTTTATGCTTTTGAAAAAGCCTCTTATGTGTAGAAGCCTGTTTCTGCCACTGAATAAAAATAGTTCTATCATGACAACTTTCTGAAGATTTTAACATGGTAATGGATATGACAATGTTAATGTATTTGGATAAATTGATTATTTTCTCTTTAATACAGATGATGCCGATGTATTTTTCCGATGGGTCCACTATGTTAGCAATAATAACGTTACCTGCTTGACAGATAGCAATGTCTACAACGGACAACAGCTTGAAGTTGTCTAATTTGGCACTGTCTCCCTGCTACACTAATAGTAGTAAGGTTTTCCTCTGTGTATACTTATCCTTACAAGTACAATTTTAGCTGTATTATTTTAAGACATGTTTTTTTAAAGAAGTTATTTTAACTTGCCGTATTAATAGCATGATACTTGTGACCATGTCCTCCATTGTTATAAATTATTTATTCAACAGATCAATTAAAATAGACATTGTTGAGATGCAGTACAATTAAAAAATGTCCGGTTATAATAATTTGTCATGTAACCATCCCACCCCTCTCTCCAACACATATATGACATACAGTATATATACAATTGTGCCTGAACCCATAGATATGTAAAGATTCCCTATTCGACCGCTCTTTTGGAATGGTCAACTTGACTCATTCACCATAATTATCAATGCGTACTCAAACATATACGAGCGTATAACTTGCTGTTGTAGACACACACAGTCAATGCGCTCAAAGGTTCGCAGACCGTTCCAAAAATGGAGGATTGCTTACATATTGCGGCCCATAGAAACAGTTGCTAATGAGGCAGCTACGTATGTATATCTATGCCTGAACCATTCTAGGTTTAAGCTACCCTACAACGGACAACAGCTTGAAGTTGTCTAATTTGGCACTGTCTCCCTGCTACACTAATAGTAGTAAGGTTTTCCTCTGTGTATACTTATCCTTACAAGTACAATTTTAGCTGTATTATTTTAAGACATGTTTTTTTAAAGAAGTTATTTTAACTTGCCGTATTAATAGCATGATACTTGTGACCATGTCCTCCATTGTTATAAATTATTTATTCAACAGATCAATTAAAATAGACATTGTTGAGATGCAGTACAATTAAAAAATGTCCGGTTATAATAATTTGTCATGTAACCATCCCACCCCTCTCTCCAACACATATATGACATACAGTATATATACAATTGTGCCTGAACCCATAGATATGTAAAGATTCCCTATTCGACCGCTCTTTTGGAATGGTCAACTTGACTCATTCACCATAATTATCAATGCGTACTCAAACATATACGAGCGTATAACTTGCTGTTGTAGACACACACAGTCAATGCGCTCAAAGGTTCGCAGACCGTTCCAAAAATGGAGGATTGCTTACATATTGCGGCCCATAGAAACAGTTGCTAATGAGGCAGCTACGTATGTATATCTATGCCTGAACCATTCTAGGTTTAAGCTACCTGTGTCACGCTTGACAGTCTTTATGGCAGCTGCTATGACTGCAGCTGATACCATCCTTTGAGGAATGTATAGAACAGCTGTGAATATCATGGGAGAGGCAGGCGCGTGATATTCGCAGAGAAGAGGTGTAATCAATTAATGGGGATGTGTGATAGGAGAGAAAACACACAGTTCTGTGTTTTAAGATGGTAAGTGTGTATTACATTGCCCTCTAAAACCCAAATGCATTTCATAAAGTCTTTTTTCTTGAATATTTTCTTTTTTTTTCTTCTTCAATTTTCTGCAGACTCATTTTTTTTTGGCCATCATGGCGGCTGGACATTATCCTCTACTGTTTGAGCTAAGGGAATGTAAAATG